AAAATCCGGGCGACACCGGATTTATCCGGGCGATCTGGCAGGCTTAATTTAAATTCATTTGAAACGATTTGAAGGAAGCAAAAAACATTTTTGGATCATTCATTCTGCATCTTCAATGAATTCCAATTTAATCACGTTTGTAACGCGGCCTGAAAATATAACAATATTTGAAAGAAACATTTAGTTCTGTCATCGTATACTATAAATCAAAGTTGATCAAAATACTTACAATACCATTGCCAATTCGGAGTTTAATCCTTGGAGCGTGGCACGCATATTGACCGGTACATTTGGTGGAATGGCTCTAATCACTGGCCACTCAGACGGTTGACCAGCTTGAACGGTGGGATAACTTCTGATGTTTAGTCTTTTCAGTTCATTCCACGACAACTTGAAATTGGCACCGAAACTTGATGGGAGAGGTGGTGGAGGCGGTGGTGGTTGTGGTTCAGATGCTTGTGGTTTGGATGCTTGTCGTTTTTCTGGAATCACCATCATCTTTGAACGATAGTTTGCTACCGTCAAACTAGCCGAAAACTCTTGAAACGAGTTAAGGTTACGTTCAACCTGTTGCTCGTCACATTCATGCGTTTTGTTACCAAAATGGAGGCATTTGCAACAAATGTTTGCCGATATGGCTAAAATTAAACCAAATTACATAGTTACCAATATTTATATTGTTTATATTTAAACGTATATGAATATTGAAGTACGTACCATCACAACGCCGTAATTTGATCATGCATTGCTTTTTGATTCCAAATTTTTTCAACCAATATTCCTCGGAATGATTTTGACCCGACTTTCCTATACATTTGTATAAAGTAATAAATATTTGCTGAAACACATAGAAATAATAAACAATTAAATAAACTTACCGACAAAAGGCTTCATTTTTTTGATTTTCACGTATTTGATTCTTTTTAATTTAACCAAAAATGATAGAATTCCTAAAAATTCGACTGATAAATTAATCGCTTTTAATTGTTAAACTGTGTTGCAAACGAATCAAAGTTCTCTGATTCAATGGTGGCCAATATAAAAAAATTCGAATATGTCACCATGTACCGCTGTACCTAGCGCTGTACTAACTAAACGCAACGGAATACAATGAATCTAAAACTTGTGAAATTTGAGGTTATGTGAAATGCCGGTAACAACAAATACCTTGACATATGCGCAAAAAAAAAAAACAAAACAAATTGATATGATCGCACATGTTAATGAATATTTGTAAACACTAGTGTAAACAATAACACATGTGTGCATATCATACATGTTCACATATGATATAAAAAAACAACCTGAAAATGCGGCAAAATCTAAAAAAATGAAACTCAACCATAACTTGAGTGGAATTAATGAAAGTTAAACTTTATTAAATTTACAAATTGAATCAAGACCAAGATTTGCGAAGATTGGCAATGGTAAAAAACAAATATAGTTTTTATCGATATATATATAGCAACAAATCAAGTCATTAATTTCGTTCAGTCGTGCTTAGCGCTTAATATAATGATTGCTAGAATGATTGTGACTGGTTGAAAATTTAAACGTGTTTCACCGCCAACAAAATATGATGATAAAAAAATTAAAAGTTCTTAGTGTGAAGGTCCTAATCATCAATCTAGTCATCAATAATAACGATTCCATTGTCGACACGGTAGTCAGTGACTTTCTTCAGATTTTGTGCCGTTTGCTTCAAATCCCGAATAAAATCTTGCATTGGATCAACAAGTTCTCGATGTTGTAGTACACGATCAGATGCCTGGAAAAATAAAATCATAGTACCGTTTTATAATATAGTAATGTGTTTATTAATTTTTCCAAATTTAATTTCACAAACCTTCTTCAATTTGACGACAGGAATCTTAACGCGTTTGATTTTCTTTTGTGGGATTTTTTTTGGACATTGTTTGCTGTCCATTTTTCTATCGATATAAAGAAACATAAAATGAACAAAAAAAATATTTTTAGCACATCGCGTATTTAAAACAAATTAGGTCTTTTATCCATATTTGAAAAAATACCTTTGCTTCTGCTTTAATTCCAAGAAAAGATCTTCCATTGTTGGATTGTCCACTTTCTGAACAAAAAAAGATTTTCGACGAGTCATTGGTGCCATGGCTACCTTTGATGATGCTCGATCTAGTGCTCGATGAAAAACAGTGTTTTTTTTGTTCAATTGTAACAATAATTAAGCACTCTTCTAGATATATTTTGCTTCTGCTTTAACTTTAACTTAATTTATTAGTCCAAATGGTTTACCAACGACAACTAATATGATTTTGCTCGCGATTTTGAATGTTCAACTAGATGTTCAATACGAACTAGAATACGAAGTTCAACATCTCCAGAGATTTGTCAAAAACGTGCACAAATACAAATATATTTCATACTAGTCACATCAGCTAATGTATTGCTAGATGTATTGGCATGTGTTTTTTGTTTATATTTTGCATTTGTTTCGTTGAAGTTGCTAACCGCAGTTGAGTTGATTGAGTATTTGTCCCAACGTGTGTGAGTGTCTGTGTATATTCTTTTTCACATGCTTTGTAGAACGACAAATGCTCGGACAAATGTAACTGTTCTTTCGTTTTCTTAGCGAATAGAGATATGATTTCAACTTGAAATTAAGTTTGAATATTTCCTAGAATATTTCACAGAGTTTTATTTACTTTCATTTTTATTCATTTGGTTGTAACTTCATAAATGGCGGTTAAGAATTAAACTAACTATAAATAACTATAAATGAAAACTTAAAACATTTTTTTCTAATTTTTTTTACATAATATAATGTCGCATTTTTTTGTGAAATAATTTATGCAAATCAATATAAGAATCTAGATAAGAATTCAGGAAATATATAGACTGTAATATTTCTACGTTGCAGAGCTCCGATCTCATCGATGTAATTATTGTTATTAACAGTAATGCGTTTTTCAAATTTGTTGGAATATTGTGTATACATTTATACATACAGAAATTATGCTCCATAAGAGACTGTATAAAATGCAAAACTGTAGCACTGCTAGCGCCACTACGGACAACTATGGAGCTCTAGTCCGTTGGTTGCAACTGAGCAAAAGTCTTTTCACTATTTGGCGGCAACTTAGTGTAGATTACATTGAATTCCGTCGTGGCGCTAGCAATGTCACAGTTTGGGCATAATTTCGGTACGCATTTATATATATATACAAGCATTTCGTGTGATGTGCTTGATGCGGTAGTTGATGCGCACTTTCTCAAACTGTGGTTTATGTGTATTGGTTGAATACCATGCACACACTATATCGGTGAAGTTTCTAGTTGTGTATGTAGTAGTTGCCTAGTAGTTGCATGTGTGTTTGACTTAAATGTCAAAATATCAAAATTTCCATTGGTCTAGCATTCTGTGCTGTTTTTTACTCTCGTTTGAATTTATTTTATGGCTATATTATTACGATATTGATTGAAATTTTAATATTTTTTTTTCCAAAATGGATATCACAGATATTTGTGTATTCAAAAGTGAAAAAGACATTATTGATTGTTTAAAACAAAGGTTTAAAACCAACAATATTTATGTGAGTAATTAGTATAGCTCAGTATAGAGTTTAATAATAATTTTCATTAATCAAATTATATTCATATATTTTTTGGCAGACATTCGTGGCGAAAGTTATAATTGCTATAAATCCGTTTAAGAGGATTAGTGGTCTATATACAGAAGATAAAAATTTTTTGTACAAAAAAGATTTAAATGATGAGTTGCCGCCGCACTTGTATGCCATTGGTAAGTCTTGTGCGGTAATGGTTTTTTAAAGTGAAATATACACATAAATTCTCTTGTAGCCAACAGAATAATCCGAAAAATATCTCCCGACAAACCGCACTCAATACTTTTTACCGGAGAGACAGGTTCAGGGAAAACGGAAAGTGCAATGCATTTGCTATCTTTCTTAGGATATTCATCGCTGTCTAATCACATCAAAGAACGAATTTCTGCTACAAACCTGATTTTTGAGCTATTTGGCAACGCTACAACAAGCTTCAACAAAAACAGTTCCCGGTTCACTAAGCTTACAGAGGTCGGTACTGATATTGTTTTAAAATTGATCATATAAGAAATTTATATTTTTGCAGATCAACTTGAACTCCGACTTAGCACTGGCTTCAGTTCAATTCTCATATCTATTGCTCGAAAGCAACCGAGTATATCTCCGAAATGAAAAGGAAACAAATTTTCACATTTTTCATTCTCTAATATCTGAAACAACAGATATATGTGGTGATCTCAAACTTGATTACGCTACTAATTATGTGGTGAGTCATAAATTAAAAAAAAAAACGAGCATGGAATGAAATATGCTAGGAAATATCACATATTCATCGATTTTTTTTGTTAATTTTCTTATTCTTCCCTCTATTCACAGTACTTGTCAGATTGTCGGGGACAAAACAACTCAAATGGTTCGATAAAACTCCTTACTGTTGATAGGGCATTGGCCAGTTTTGGAATATCCCGTGAAAAAAGAACTCAAATTTATCAAATACTGGGTGCAATTTTACATCTGGGCAACGTTGTTATAACGCAATTAGAATCGGAAAAGTGTACAATATCTGAATCATCGATACCTCATTTAGAGCAGAGTGCTCACCTTTTGAATACTGATCAGCGATTACTCAAAGGAGCATTATTAACGCGGGTTATCGAATTAAACGGTTCCGATCCAATCATGTGAGTACTTTGGATTTCATAATTTTACCTTAAAATTGTATTTATAACTTGTTATAACTATTCAATTCTTGTAGTATGGATTTATCTTTATCAAAAGCGAACAAAGCGAAGAACAGTTTGGTGAAAATTTTATACGAACATGTATTTCAAGAGGTGATGTTTCTGGTCAACAAAACTTTATCTAGTGATACACAATCATACACTAAAATGCAAATAAACATGTTGGATATAGCAGGATTTGGTAAATTTATTCATAAATATTCAAATATCTGCATATATCTATATTTCTAATAATGCTAATTCTTCTCTCTAGAATCATTCGAAAAAAACTATTTCGAACAAATGTGCATTAATTACGTAAACGAAAGAGTGCAACAGATGTTTGTGAAATTGATGATTAAAGACGAAGAAGAATGGTACGCCAAAGAGTGTTTGGAGCTGCCAAAGATTCCATTTCTAGACAACAGCATTATTTTGGGTGAGTTTTCGATAAAAATAATTTTGAATGGTTTCAAACCACATATATTTTAAAAATACCTTATGTTAAATATACTATTACAGACGTGTTCGATCATAAATATAACGGGATTTTTAAAATTTTGGATGATACGATGAAAATTCAATGCCAAAGTTCGGAAGTGCTCCTTCAAAATATTTTGCTGAATCATCCACAGTTGCTTAAACAAAAAGGTTGTCAACGTAACGAATTCATTGTACAACACTTTGCTGGAGACGTAGTTTATAATGTTGTAAGTTAACTACTTCTATTTTAATTGTTCTTTGAAAACTACATAATATTTGAATTATTTTTTATGCCATATCAAGAAACATATTAACAAATTTTTTAAATAATATTTCATAGTCCAATTTCTTAGAAAAGAATGAAGACATCGTGCCAAAGGCTATAAAGGATATATGTAGTGGAATATACTACAGAAATCAAGACGTAAACAGCGATAGAAATATCCCACAAATGAACTCACATACTAAATCATCTACATTAGTCTTAAAAATGGGAACGAATGAACTTATCAACAAACTCATCAAAACTGTAAGTACGAATGTCTGATCTAAATTCTATCAAGAAGTACCAGTTTTCTTTTTGGTTTTTAATATTATTATATATACATTTTTTTAATTTTTTTGTTTATAGGAGTGCTCATTTATTAGGTGTATTAAACCAAACACAAAACAATTAAATGATACATTTGATGAAGATTATGTACTATCCCAATTAGTTTCATCGTGTTGTATATCTTATAAAGAGTTGATGAGGATCGGATTTCCGACTTTTATTGGAATCGACGATTTTTATGATATTTTCAAACATCTCATTTGTGAACATACTTCTAATAATCGAAAGAAAATATGCAGTGAATTGATTCGAGCGTGTGGCCTCAAATGGAGGGATTTTAAGTTGGGAAATTCCAAAATCTTTTTTAGAAGCGAGAAAAAAGAAACAGTCGACGAGAAACTAGCGGGTGATTTACAAAAAATCGTCAAGCATCAGAAAAAATTAAAAATTTTAAGAGCAAAATGGCGCACTGTCATTATTGTAGCCTACTGGTGTGCTATCTTGAAACCTCGACAAATTCAAACCAGAATTCAAAATAATGAGTATGACTCATCCATAAATGCTAGCTTAAATGTAACTAAGAGGAAAAAATCAGTCGTTGACGATGCGAAAGGTTCTAGAAAAAAAATATTGCGTGAATCTGATATTGGTTCTCACAATAAATCGCGCTTACCTAGACCATCAAGTATGTTTGTAAAATTTTAATATGTTTAATATATTTTTATATTTGGTCATTGAACATTCAAGAAGGTGCATTTTTGAATAGCATTCAAATTTTAAATAAATCTTGAATAATTTCACCTTTCTCTAGAATTTTTTTTTCTTAAATTTTAGGTAATTGTACAATAACAATTCCATGTACTTATCAAGAAAACATTTCAACTGAAGAACGATTAAGAATTTTGCTTCGCCAGGAAAGAGAAATGAATAAACAGTTAAATGATGATTATCGTAAGCTCCAAAAAAGGCAACTGGAACTTATTGCAACTATAAGTAGCGAACGGCTCGAAAAAGAACGTATCATCGAAGAAAATAAAAAACTTAAGGAGGCATTAGAAACAACACGAGTTAATATTTCATCAGATCACAATTATTTTTAGTAGTTAATTTTCTTGAAAACAAATGTTGAATAAAACCATATCTCAATAGTTTCAGTTTACTTTATTTTGTTGCTACCTTTTTTCATGGTATTTCTGTAGTTTCTATCTAGCTTAAGATCAAAAACATAAATTGCCTATATAGTTTAAATTATACTCTTCATTAAATTTTTGCTATATTTTTTGAATAAATAAATTAAATAATGAAGAAAAAAAAATGATAAAAATTGCCATTGGCTTGGATCACTACGTTTTTTAAATTGAAATCTAAACTTGACCATTTTATATGATAAAATGATAACATCAAATTACTAGTCAAATTTTAAGAATTTATCACTATTAGATCAGAAAAACACTTAAAAACATATCGTTGATGTTTTGGTTTGTGTTGTGATGCTAATAATAACACAGTCAGTCATCACCTAGTTATCAAATAATAATATATCATCATCATAATTCTCAGGACTAGTCTCAGCACTAGTCCTAGCACTAGTCTCTGCAACTGGTTCACCGATAATATCGAGAACAATTATATCATCAGTATCATACATTTGAACTTCAATATCTTCAAAGCCTGGGTTGAAATCGTTTTCTGTACCATTGTTTGGCACTTCTCCATCTTTTTGTTTACTCTGGGGTAGTATTCGTGTTGAACTTTCTAGCCGCTTTTCTTTGACTTTGCTGACGTGGGTTCGTAGATGCTTAAACATGTTGCTCAGCCGCCAGGAACTATCGAAACGGATGATTCGAAATACGCCACATACTGGACATTCTAGCGAACATTGAATGCCATCTTCATCTTTTTTGAATTCATGAATGGCATTATTCCAGTTGAGTTTTTGGGTATTTGTCGAATATTTCGACACCTGGTTGATCAAACTAACCTTCAGATCGATTTCGTCCAATCCAGTATCCAATCCATTTTTCACTTTTTGTATTAATTTTGGTTTTTTAACGTGTTCCATAGACAAAATCTGAGATTTTATTCCCATAATTAGCGCTCGGTGGCCTGGGGAAAATTGAAATGGCTTCACTTCTTTGTATTCGTCTACTGAGTCAGCAATTTTGCGGTGATGTTTCTCCACATATGATTCAAGTTCAATGATTTTTTCATCGTCAACCTCTTTGTAAGCCCAAGCATTATTGTAGCCACATGCTGTTAAAATGTCCCTCATGGTCATTGGTACGGTCGAAATTAAGCCAGCACTCGCACAGTCTGCTTCGAATTGTTCCCAAAAATCTCTGTTGATTTTGCGTTTTGGCTAAACATAAAATAACAAAAGACTACATTAAACACTCTATTTAAGCACTCGTCACACTCGAATAATGAATATTTTCACACGAAATATAATTTTTTATTTTTTTATTCAGGTGCTTCTTACCATTTCCGAGTATATTTTCTATTCACTACTTGAATTTTACGTATTTTACGCTAGATTTTAATAATTTTATGAAACTTTTCGCA